AAATTAAGGTGCAATTAAATAGAACTCAAATTAAAATCTTCAGTATGATAAAGTAGCTATCAAAAGGTTTCCGATAGACCACAGATAATAGATTCGCAATTGCAATTTTGTGAATCGTAATGACAATGGAAATAATAACACCATTATATGGAACCTATTTAACACATATTATGTGATTATCTAAGTCAGTGGGATACACAACTCGTGCTACGCACTCGTTGTGCAACTTCCACAATCCACACTAATCCACACTAATCCACACTAATTCACACTAATCCACACTAATCCACACTAATCCACACTAATCCATACTAATCCACACTAATCCACACGCGTATCTCAGGTATGATGTTAACTCACTTGTAGCGTAAATATCTATTATTTTATTGAAATCCCCATCCAATAGAACAAACGCTAAACGATATGATTTTTGTTCAATTATCCCATAATCCACATATATATATATTTTTATTTATTTTTTTGGAATTTTGACCGCCTAGATAACGATATAAAGGAGCGATCATAGAAGCATTGGATTGTTTTGTTTCATTTTATTTGTGGCATTATGTCCGATGAAATGTTGATTGAAAGCGTTCGGGCATATGCATTGTTGTATGATCCCAAGGAAAAATATTATCACGATACTACTCGTAAAGAAAATTCTTGGGGAGAAGTGTCTTTTTTATTCACGAACCTACCACTTCCATAGTCAAGGTTGTTTTAATCGCTATTTGGGTCTGATGATGCCGAAGCAATGGGCGGGGGCTGCGGAAATCCCGGCCGCGCTTGCCGTGCCGTGCCTGGCTGCGCGGGCCGCGTATTAGAAAAAAAAATACCATTGTTTACTAATATACAGAGCAACTGTGCTCTGAAGCGCAGTGGAGAATGGATTGGCAAATACGTGTATTTCAGATTGCCTATGTTTACTTCGATTGAGGACATTACCCAAACTTTAATGTTCTGAATCGCAGTAAATGTTGGCAATAATACGTGTTGCTATTGGCCATTGCTTACTGCATTGCAGCGCAGTCACGCCTTGCGGTGATATCTTGTCTTGTCATCTAGTTAATTTAGGGAAATTATTTTAACTTATTTGTTAGACTGTTACAGTTCAAAATTCACTGTATCAATTTGTTAGTTTTATATAAATTCTCATTTAATATTGTATTCCAAAGCTCTGAGATTGTTTTTAATTAATATCCTTTTATTTTAATCATTTCATGGACATAAACAATTCATTTTCCGACAGGTTGGCAGGAGGCTTCTGTTTTCCTGTATTCTTGTTTTGTTGGGGAAATATTCCTTGTGGGACTGCGTCTGAAATGTAAAAGGATGACTTAAGATGAAATAGAATTCAATTTCAATACTTACCTTTATTAAAAATTGGGGCCCAGTGCTTTGTTTACCATCCGTTAATTATTGGGTTATGATTTATTATTTTGACACTTGAACTTGATCTTGAACAGCTGTGTGCTCCGAACACTTCGGTTTTTATTATTTAGCGGTCTTGGGATGTCGCACAGGTGCTTGGAGTAAATGGGTCAAGGTTTCACCGATAAATCAAAGTCATTGGCGTAGTTCACAGAATTGTTACTGTGTTGCTGTCTGTAGCAACATCAAGTTTTATTCGTTTTGTTCATGAATTGAACTTTTCTGTGTAAATTATAATTTAGCTGAGGAAATTAACAACTAGTTGAGATTTTAAAGAGTTCTATTGTGTTTTGGGACTGTATGGAAATTATTTTGAGTTTTGGCAACAGACCCAGAGAGACGAGTCGTCCCTGGTTCTGACCATGAGATTGCAGTTTTGTCATTAGGGGGGAAATTGAACCTTTCAAGTTCTTTCTTCGGTCTTTTCTACCCCAACTTTCAGCCTGAATGGTCGTTTTAGCTGCTAAGCCTGCTTGAGTCCTAGGATTCGCCTTTGTACTTAAGGGATTTTGGCTACAGTTTTCGCGTGGAATCCGTTTCTTTGGTTTACTGGATAAACCGCAAGTTGTGCTGGAGGCACGTGTAATTTTGGATTTCCACAAAACTTTTTGTAAGGGATTTTTGACCACGTGACTGGTAAGTTATCTTACTTTTGCTGCCCAAGAACCACATGGTTCTTGGCTACACATTTCCATACTATTACCTAGTTTCTCGTCACTTATAGAGAGTTGGTCCCAAGGGCTTATATGTCCATTTTTGTCCTGCCTTTCCGCCGTCTTATACGTGTGCCTTGATGGTGATATTAGGGAGATATGCCCTTTCGACAATTACGGTGTTGCCGGATGAGGAAATGATGTCCTTAGGCGTTGTAGGAATGTGATTGTTGGAAGGTATGTTTTTATCTATTTTTATATATTAGGGAGGGAATAAAATATAGGGTTTTGCTTAGTAAAATCTAGATAATGGGCTATTATGAAAGCGCCATTTGTGTGACGTTAAGTTCATTCTAAATGTGCAGACTTCGTAGACCCGGCTTGTCGAGGCCGTCTAGTGCTAGTCTTTGTGCTGTCAAAGCTAGTTATAATTTAATATAGTTCTGGAACTAAGGCTGAATACCTTTTCTAGGGCGTTGTTTTTGGTTGGTGTCTTGTTCCGGTGTCTGATGTTGATGTCTAAATCAAGTCTAGTGTTTGGTGCACAATGCACGTAGCTAATGGGTAGCAGTAGCAGCTGATGTAGCTTCTGGACGTTTCTCATCCTTTCCAGGCTGGTTGCTGATTTCATTTTACCAGCAGGATTGAGTAATGTATAACTGCTCTATTTTATTTCTTACATAATAATTAGAATGATGCTCAAGAGTTGAATGTTACTAAGGTAGAGTGTTTTATTATATATCTAGTTACATATTTTCTTGGCATTCTCATGCTATAAATATAATCGTCTTGCGCCTGGTATACCATGGTATTTTAGGGGGTGTTTTTGCATATTTATAATTAAAGTTTAAATGTCTAGCGTAATTGATTAATTGCCCTTATGTAATCAATATGATGACCTTATGTGAACACGACTTTATTATTTAGTGTAATATTTTGATGTCGATTATTATTGTTATACATTTATTTACATTTCAACTGTTACCTGTTATCTATTGCCCAAAGCTACATATGTTTAGTAATTAAATATTGTCCTTTGTTTTGAACCTGACTTTTATTGATTCCTTCTGCTGAGAACAATGCCTAGGTCCAAGAGACCCATGTTTAGTAAGTACTACTTTCTTTATCATTATAATTTTTGAGCTAGCTGGTGTTATAACTGGGAAATTTAGGTTATAAGACACGTCCTTTCAAATTTCTTTGCTATTCATCGTTAGTAGTACTCTCGTTTATATAGTTTTCTGTTTCAATGGAATCAATGGATTATAAACATATTTTAACTAATATCTGTAGTTCTTGTTTCAATGTAATTCAACTGGAAAAAACGGTTTTGATGCTTGTATAAGGGTTAAGACACGGACCCGATTCTCTTCTCAGGGAGTAGAGCTCCCCGAGAGAACAAATTTTTCTTCTTTATCATTCTCGTTTACTTTTCGATTACGTTGACAAGGATAAAACATTCGTTCTATCGGGAAGCTCCTTTGTTGAGAAGAGAATAGTGCTACTTCTCGAGCCAAGCGAATTCAGTCGGGAAGACCTCCGAATCAGGAAGTGGCAATTAGCAAGAAGCGGAAACGAAATCTGAGAAAAATCATTGCGGCAAATATGCCAAATGACAAATCACACAGAAGAAATTAATATAATTTTTAAGTGTTACAGGATAATACCTATAATAAACCTATAAAATAAATATAAATTTGTACTGTTGCATGCTGTTTGTTTAATTTAGGATCTCACGCTTTCCCTTTAATGATCGTTCCAAGGTTGTTTTTACAAGCAATATTTTGACATAAAATTTCACCAAGTAGCTGTAATGCAGTAAGCAATGGCCAATAGCAATAACACGCGTTTATATTATTGCCAACATGTACTGCGATTCACGATTCAGAACATTATGGTTTGGGCTATGTGCTGAATCGCAGTAAACATTGCCAATCTAAAATACGCGTATTTGCTAATCCATTCTCCACTGCGTTTCAGAGCACAGTTGCTCTGTATAATAGTAAACAATGGTAATACGCGTGCGGGCCCAGCGGGCGCGCTTCTTTAAACGGTTGAGTGAAACAAAACTTAGAATTGATCGAATCCAGTGAACAAAATAGAAACTTTCAATTCTCAAATAATATTTTTTTTTTTTTTAAATTGAATCAAATAATCTAATATGCAGTAAATTAAATCTCCAATATTTAAATAGAAGTTCTAATTTATTAGCAATAAATTGAAAATAATCAAATAATTTGGCATTGATATAAAATTATTCAAAATATTTAACATTTTTCCAAGTTCAAATTAAAATAATAGATAAATGACAAGCCAGTGTTACGACATCGCGATGTTCTTGCGCCTGCAGAATAAACCCATAAAAAATATTAAAAACAAAGCTAAAGGAAGCAATTAAATTGGGGACCAAGTGACAGATTTCATATGACAAACATTATTTATCCCCAGCACGAGTTCGGCATCCTCTTATTTATTTGTCCTCACATTCTGTGTAGTTCGACGAACGCGCCTTGTTGCCGGCAGTCATGGTTAATCTTGAGCAATGTAAAAACTGCGACCAAAGCATAGCAAAGTCTAGCCTAAAGTTGCTATGCGGAGATTGTAGAGGCTATTATCACCTTAGATGCGGAAAAGTCGATTAAGTCGATGCAAGAATAATGATAGAAAACAAAGCGCCGTGGAGGTGTCCCCTATGCGGGAACGACATTGAAATCGACAATCTGCGAAAAACACAACAACGCAAATCCCTTCTTGTGGCTCAACAGTCATCTTCGCCATCGAGAAGTACAGAGGAGCTAGAGTTGAAAGAGATGATCAGAGACTTACAGAAGGAAATGCGTGAGTGTAGGAAATCTGTGGATTTTATCAGCCAAATGTACGAGGAAGAAAAAAAAACGAACAAAGGCCCTTTCCGTCATGGTAAACGATATTTCTAGAGAAAATCGGACCTTAAAAGAAGAACTGGAGAAGCTCAAAAGTGTACGAAACAAGGAAAAGAATAAGAAGCTTGATAAAAACCTGTGTATCACTGGCCTGATAAGTGATGAGAGCGATAAGGAAAATTTACAAAACAAACTGCACTCTCTGTTTCAGGCTTCAGAAGTGACTGTGCCAGAATCTGAGTACAAAGTTCTTGAAAACATTGAGACAAGAAACGGGATGAAGACTGTTATTTCACTACAAAATAAGGACAAAAAATACGTCATTCTGAAAACCCGTGCGAAGAAAGGAAAAATTACGATATCCAGCGTTGGTGTTGGTGACGAGAATACGCCTATCTTTATCAATGAAGATATGTCCAAAGACACCTACACGCTTTTTAAAAAGGCGAAGGATCTTAAAAATATGGATTATAAGCATGTATGGCATCGTGATGGGAAAATCTTGGCGAGGAAAAATGATGATGATAAACCAGTCCATATAAAAAATGAAGCTATGTTAGATGAACTTTTAGGTTAGTTAAAAGCATTTCTACCTAAAATATAATTATTACGTAATGCTTTTCTAAAATAAAAATGGCGTTTAACGATATACTTGACGACTACCAAAACATTGTAAACTACGAAATTGATGATATTGGCAATGCCGTCCATTTAAAAAATTATAAGTCTATTAATTTCATTCACTTTAATATCGCACCTTTATTCATAAAGTGGCACAACTCAAAATTTTGAGATTCAGAGTTTTGGTATTAAAACGACCTAAAATAGTGCCATCTATTAAGGTAACTCCGACCTAACTCGAAATAGCCACCCAGTGAGCTGCAGATGTCTTTTGTGTCAGTTTAGTTCTATCGGATTCCGTAATGTGGTTTAGACGTAAAGCGACATAATTTCAGTTGTGTGTTAACAGTGACCGGTTACTTGTCGTCGTTGATCGCATAATCACGATTATGTCAGTTTATCGCTAAATAATAAGGTAAAACTTTTCTTTTATTTTAGTCCAAAACAGAAATATTTGTAGTTGCGTCTGTTTATATCTTAAAATTCATCATAATTAGCAGATTTTTTAAAAGTTGTGTCAGTTTATTATTACATCTGTATATGCATTGAATAATTTATTTTGAAATGTGTCTTTTTATTATTAAATTAAAACCATTATTGTTTTTTTGCCTTGTTTATTTCTAAGTTAGTGCTTGTTATGATTAGTTTGTATTATAAAATATTCGTTGCAATTTAAAATGGTCCGTTTTATGAGCAAAAATTCAAACAATTGCATAGTCGATAAGTAAAAAAAGGTTATTAATATTAGGTTTTTTGCCATTCTCTAGTAAAATAATGGAATCGAGAGGGAAAAAAATACTGAAAATGGTACTTCAAGATCCACTTCTTGACATTGCCAATCAAATTGTTACAGAAAATATACCATCCTCCCATTCAAACGACTCAAAAGATGTAAGTTGATAAACAATATTGGGTTTGTATGAATATTTTTTGTTTGTTTTAATTACCTATGTATTAAATTTTTTTGTAGATAGCTTTCAGCATTTCCCCTTTCTGTCTACAAGATGATACTTCTTTAATTTTAAAAGACACAACCTCGGCTGGAGTCAGTCAAGTAGAAAGTTCTCATGCAATAATTGCAGAAAAAAAAGATAAGAGCGATTATGTCGAAGTCATGGAGAATAATGAAACTACATTAGAGTCTGTTAGTATTTAGACTTTTCTTATTAAATGCTTTTATGTTTTTCTGCTAAACTGTTGAAGTTATAGTATTTTTATTTCAGCAACCTGTATATCACCTTTCTGGAGAGAACATAGATACCACAGATTCTGCTGTACAGGAATTTCCCAAAATAGTTCATACCACAGAAAGGAGTGGATGTGAAGAGGTATAGATGATGTTAGAACAAGCTTTATTTTTTATTTTACTCATTTCTTAGCAGTTTGCTCTCATGGACAACAAGGAAAACGAATGCAATAATACTTCAAACTCCATTAACTCCAAACAATTCGAATATGAAATTAGCGAATACGTAAATCCTACCAAGCTATACATCACGAGAAAGAGAAAAAAGAACTACCAAATTTCTCCGGTGTACTCTAATGAAAGTGACGTAGATTTAAGTGACACTGATCCGACCTACAAAGGGGAGCAAGACGACAAAATGAAAAAAATACAAATTTTCAATAGAAGTAACAGCTCTTCGACTTCTAATGATACTTCCAGTTCGTCTTCTAGCGATACTTCCAGTTCGTCTTCATCGACGTCATCAGGAGAAAATACCCCATCGACATCTAAAAATACTAAAAAACGAACGCCAAACCCTGAAAAATGGAAACAAAACCTAACAAAACGGTTAAGAAATACCGGTCAATCCTATGTCTCGATGTCAAAATCCAAGAAAATCTTTGCAGCTAGGAGTGTCAAGTCGCCTTGCCCTGAAAAATGCAGACTCAAATGCAGGGACAACATAAATGAGAATGAAAGAGCTTCTATATTTCAAAAATTCTGGAATTTATCGGATATAAACAAACAGCGTTTGTTTGTACAATCTTGTTTGCGAAATGTCTCACCCAGGTACAAATACACGAATGCTGTGAGACCAAGAAAAGAAAATAAAGCATTTTACTTCACAACTGATAATGATCGAGTAATAGTATGTAAAGTATTTTTCAAAAATACACTGGATATAACCGATCGTATGATTCGAACCACAATAGCAAAAATTGATCTAAATGGATTCGTGAGCGATGATCTTCGAGGCACTCATACAAGTCATACTGAAATTGATCCAGAACTGCTCGCAGATATAAAAAACCACATTAACTCTATTCCACGCATAGAATCCCATTATCTTCGTGCCAACACAACACGTTAGTATATAGATGGCGGAAAAACAGTTACAGATCTTTTCAGAGATTTCAAAGAAACTCAAACAGGAGAAAACAAAGAGTTTGGAAAATATAGCACTTATTATAAAGTTTTCACCACCCAGTTCAATATAGGGTTTTATCAGCCCAAAAAAGATCAATGTGATCTATGTCTTTCATATAGTAATACCATGGGCAATGCAAGAGATAAAATAGAGGAAGAATATAAAAAGCATCTGGAAGAAAAAGAGTTGTGCAGGAAAGAAAAATATTTTGATCGACTTAATATAACGGACAACAAAAAAGTGCTTATTTACGATCTACAAGCTGTGCTCCAGTGCCCCAGAGGAGATACATCAGCTTTTTATTATAAATCAAAGTTGAATGCACTTAATTTTACATTAGTGGATTTGAACAAACTCGATCCAAATAATGAGAAAAAACGGGGATATCGCGACGTTCATTGCTTTTACTGGAACGAGACTGATGCTAAACGTGGCTCTATTGAAATTGGATCTTCAATTTTGAAGTATTTTGAAATATTGTCTTCTAACAACCCTACAAACGAAGAAATTGAAATAACTTTTTACTCTGATAACTGCTGCGGGCAAAATAAAAATAAAGTCATTGCTACACTATATTTATATGCAGTGAGTCATTTCAATAATATAAAAGTTATCACTCATAAGTTCCTTATTAAAGGGCATACACAGAATGAAGGAGATAATGTGCATAGCCTCATTGAAAAGGAGATAAAAAAAAATTTAAGATCTGGCCCTATATATTCCCCTCACCAGTACGTAACAATGATTAAAAATGCTAAAAAAACAAATCCTCCTTTCAAGGTACATGAGCTTACTTTTGAGTCATTCCTTAATTTGAAAAAACTACAAGAAGAATGGGGATATAATTACAATTTTGATACCTCGGGAAATACTGTGTTGTGGAATAACATTAAGGTGATGATGTTTAGAAAAGAAAAACCTTTTAGTTTCTTTTATAAAACATCCTACAAGCAGGAGAATTTTCTTGAAGTTAATCTGAGAAATAAAAGAAGGAAGATGCTTTCTTTGGAGGAAATTACTCTTGAAAAAGCATACCAGAATAAACTCGAATTGAGCGAAAATAAGAAAAAGGATCTGAGAGAACTTATTTCTAAAAATTTGATTCCCAATTATTACGCAGATTTTTATTCCAGTATGCTAGCATAAGGACTAAGTCTCATCTTACATTTCAGTATATTTCTTAGTTTTATTTAGTTACCTACTTAATTTGATAATTCAGAAATTTAGTTTTATTTAGTTATTTAGGTATTTGATAATTCAGAATGCCAAAGTTGAGTTCAATAGTACAATACTAGTAAAAAACACATTATGAGGAATTAGTTTATGTTTTTTCATGTTTACGTGAGTTACCTACTATTTATGCCAAAGTTAAGTTTAAGGGTACAAATAAATTTAAGTGAAAAGCAAATAAAGACTTAGTATTTTGTTTTTCATGTTTACTTTGAGTTAATCATTGATCCTAATAACCCCATTTGATGTTATCACAAAAACTAATACCTCTGGTTCGAAATAGCTTAGTATAATTTTTTGAAAATTTACTTCTAAAGTGACATTTTTTGCTTTATTTCATGAAATCCTTAAGGAATATAATTCAAAAAAGAACTATTTCAAAATAATTCTGAAATATTTGTGCAACTTTTAGTCATAAATTGACACATTTCTTATTCATACTCATTATTTTTATTACTAAAGTGACCTAACTGTGAATTTTTATTTTTTCTAACCATAAAACCATTTTTCTGTATTTAAAAAAAAAAAAAACATAAATTATGCATACATATTTATAGTATTCTTAACCTTTTCACAAATTTCATAATTCATAATACTTCGTAAATTTTCTCAAAATTCAAAAATTCCAAGACGACTACAAACTCTTACACAGTTTTTAGCAGATTCTACGGAAGTAGCATTTTTGAGTTATGCCAATTTATGATTGAAGGTGCGATATCTGCGGCCTGTGTTGCTATTATGATGAGTTGGTTGCGCTCTTGGAATTTTCAAAAATTGACTTTGAAATTATCATACTCTCCGAAACACATACTATTTATGACCTTCAGGATTTCAAACTAACGGGTTATGACATATTTTTTAATGATAGTCAAATTAATGGTTACAATGGCACGGTAATTCTTGTAAAATCTTGTTTAAATCCAACAGGTAAAATACTACAATATGGTCATTCATAATTTCTCAGAATTACTTTCAACAAAAACCAAAAAACTTTTAGTGTCATAGGAATTTACAACTCCCCCTCCCTGAATCGTGATCAGTTTATTATAAATTTAAATTCACTCTTAAGCTCGAATTCTTTAAACAATGATTTCGCAATTTTTTGTGGGGATATAAATATAAATATCTTTCGAACAGACTCCACCTGTCAAGATTACTTAAACTGCTTATATGAATTTGGATATAGAAAACAAATATATTCTATAACAAGACCTAGAAGCGGCACATGCTTGGATCACTTCTTTTTAAAAAGTAAAAACAATAATATCATGACAAAACCTACTGTTCTAAAAAATTATATGACTGACCACTTTCCTATAATCTTAAATATTGACATAAACAACAAAACAACATTATTTGATCTACAATGTTTATCTAAAGACTTCTTTGATTACGGACCGTCTGTGGTCATAGGGCCGTTTGAAATTTTATAATGAAAATGAAAAATTTTGACCAACGTAAAAAAAAATTCTACAACTCATACAACATTTTTGTTTTATGAAGTTTTTACTCACCCCCTGCCGTTTTTCAATAGGGGTAGTTTAAAGTTTTTTTATTTTTTTACAAAAAAAAATTCTCAATAAAAGTTATATAAGATGACATTTCCTACAATTTTTCCCAATCAACTGTTTTTGTAACTCACCCCCATTCAGCGGGGGGACACTTCCCTCGGGGAAATTTTAGTTTTTAGGGGTATATATTTTTTTTTTTCTTTTCTCGCCTTTAGTGCATATAAAAATTTGCAACTAACATTGTATTGAAAGGATTTTTTTTTTACCACCTTCTTGTTTTTAGGGGTAGTTCGCCTATTTTCAACTATACAAAAAAAAATTATTGAGAAAACTTGTTCATTTTATTATTTTGAGCAACTTTTCTCTATAACTTTTTTTTGTAAAGTTGAAAATAGGCAAACTACCCCTAAAAACAAAAAGGTGGTGGAAAAAAAATCCTTCTAATGCAATGTTAATTGCACCTTTTTATATGCACTTAAGGCGAGAAAAGAAAAAAAATATTAATATATACCCCTAAAAACTAAAATTTTCCTAAGGGAAGTGTCCTCCCGCTGAATGGGGGTGAGTTACAAAAAAAGTTGATTGGGAAAAATTGTAGGAAATGTAATCTTATGAAACTTTTATAGGGATTTTTTTTTTTGAAAAAATAAATGAACTTTAAACTACCCCTATTGAAAAACGGCAGGGGGTGAGTAAAAACTGCATAAAGCAAAAATGTTGTATGTGTTGTAGAAAAAATTTCTTTTTTTTCATTTTAATTACAAAATTTCAAGCGGCCTTATGACCACAGACGGCCCTTAATCAAAAAAGTCTTTAGATAAACATTGTAGATAAAATAATGTTGCACATCTTTTATTTAAATTTTTTTTTGTAAAATCAATAGGTACCAAGTAATCGCCAATGGCGCACTTCCAACCCCTATAGCGCAAAACGCCAGAGGGGTAAATGTTTGATATTTTCGGTTTTATGATCACCCACCCGCCCCCTATCATCCCTGAAAAGTTCATTTGGGTAGGAATTTTCTTTTGCAATACATGTATTTTTTGACTATTTTCCCAGACAAAAAATGCAAAATTTACATACTTCAAAAATACACTGAATAATGTAAAAAATGACATCAAGGGAACTTGGGAGGTAATACGAGAGGTCACAAATGAATCCAAATGTAGTAATAATATACAGTATATTTGTGAAAAAGGTGAAAAAATCATAGATAATAAAAAAAAATCAAATATATTTCTAGATTACTACAAAAATATGGGAAAAATCTATCAAAAAAATTAAGAGTAACAATTTTAAATTTCAAACCAAAATATCACCATCAAGTATTTTCCTAACCCCAATTGAACATAGTGAATTATACAACCAAATTCAGTCACTAAAAAATCGTGCTTCTTCTGCCCTTGATAACATTTCAACAAAAATTCTGAAGTCAAACAGATTGGCATTGTCAAAACCGCTATTACACATAGTAAATCTTATTTGAGACCAAGGAATATATCCAGATGTATTAAAAAAATCAATAATAACGCCAATCTTTAAGTCTGGGGATAAAGATAATAAGGAGAATTACCGCCCCATAGCAGTCACGAGCACATTAAACAAGCTTTTTGAAAAGTGTCTTAAAATGAGACTGTGTGGCTTCCTAGAAAAAAAAAAGTTACTGTCTGCGACACAGTTTAGGTTTAGATCTGGCATGAGTACTGAAAATGCATTACAAGGGGTTACAGATTTTGTAAATAAAAATTTTAATGAGGGGTACAAAACAATTGGGCTATTTATAGATTTAGCGTGGGCCTTCGATACTGTAAATCATTCAATACTACTTCGAAAATTATGGAACTTGGGTGTTAGAGGCAAAGCCCATGATTTATTTAATTCCTACCTAAAAAATAGAATACAACAGGTGAAAATAAATGGTGAGTTAGTGAGGAGGGTGAAGTAAATATTGGGGTGCCACAAGGAACGGTTCTTGGCCCTGTGCTTTTTTTGGTCTACCTCAATGATTTAATGTCAATATTACCTGCTAATGAATGTATCTGTATATGTTTTGCTGATGACAGTGTAATATTAATTAAAGCAAAAGCATCATGGAAAGAACTGCATGAGTTATCGGAGCATTACATATCTATTGTTAAATTATGGACGGGCCAGAATCGCTTGACATTGAATGAAAACAAAGCACTTTATATTACTTTTTCTCTTAAAAATGTTGACAGATTGAATTTACCAGCCCCAAAAATACATACCCTTGAATGCCTACAGAAAACATGTTCATGCTCGTGCCAGCCATCAATTAACTCCCAAACAAATTATAAGTATCTGGGAGTATACATAGGCTCAAATTTGAAATACGATTCTCATATTGACTACATCGTTAAAAAAAGTCAGGAAAACGATCTACAAATTTTATCAACTACGAGAATTCATGCCCTTAAAACTAATTAAAATAGTTTACCAGTCATTAGTGGAGTCTGTTTTGAGGTACGGAATAACTGTGTGGGGTAGTACATATTCAAATGTATTTAACAACATTGTAATTTTACAAAAGTGTTTAATTAAAATTATTTATAAAAAGCCAAAACGGCACCCTACTGACTTAATATTTAGAGACTCTGGATTTTTGACTATCAAACAAATTTATGTAAGCAGTGTTATAAGGTATATGAAAAAATTTAACACATACAAAAATAATATAAGTCACGGCATAACAACACGATTAATTACCTCTGAAAGTATGGTAACTCCGGGGTCAAGTCTAAGCGCTACTCAGCGACATGTAAGCTTCATAGGTCCACGTATTTATAATATTCTGCCACTCGAAATAAAAACCAAAAGTCAATTTTATATGAAAAAAGTTAATGAGTGGATAAAAAATAACTGGAATAATATCAATCGCAAAATTTGCATACTATAAAATTAAAAAAAAAAACAAAAAGAAATAGCCACTCCAAATTATATTTGAACTTATCTTATTTCTATTTATAATAATTGTTAAGAAGTTATACCTGTATTTAAATATATTTAAGTTTGTTATCTTTTAAAATCTTTATATTAAACTATTGTTAATGGCTTCCGATAAGCTACTGCGTAGCTTAGAAAGCTGTACCATATGTGTGATATTGTATTGTTTGTTGTTAATAATAAATTGAATTGAACTGAATTGAATTGAATTGAAAACAAATTACTTAATGTTAACAAAAGTAGAAAACTAAATATTTTGGAGAACATCGAAATAGCAAAATTAGAAATAGATCCACAAATTAATTGTCTTAATGAACCTGTCAACGCCCACTACCGGGAAGCCGCCAAAATTATAAATTTGTTTAAATAGTTTGTCATTGTGTTTCTGTTTGTTGTAAATTGTTTATTTATATAGTTTATAGGGGTCTCTACAAGTGTTAG